CATTTCTATCTATATATATGCACTAATTAGTGATCCACGCGCAAATATTATAATATTAATACTCAAAATTCACATGCTAAGTTATTTTTGTCTATCTCCGTATAAGTGATCAATGTGCATGATGGATTAATATTCAATCAAAAATTCCAAGTTAATTGTGTCTATATATGTACACTAAGTGATCCTCACGTGCCTGAGAAAGACCGACGACATTTGACACTTTTTTGTAGTGGTAGGAGAAAATTCAAAATAGAAACTAGCATTTTGTCTCAATGCATTTATTGATACATGAATTTTTACTTATTATTATATTAAAAATATGATTGTAAAAAATTAATATATATATCTCTATTTTTTTATTTTTTTTTTGGTTGACAAATTAATATTACCTTGAACTATGAAAAAATAGATTCAGCGTCTGTTGTGAACCCTAAAAAAAAAAGGATCAAACACGAACGACCTAGAGAGAGTTGTGAGAGGATGAGAGAAGATGTGAGAGAATGAAAGGTAAAAAATTAGGATTATAAAGATTAATTGTGAGCCATTGGATTTAATATTAATCCAACGGTGATCAAATTAGTTGTAAATGTAGTATACTTTTGTGGTGGTAAGTGGATCCTCCCTTATATATATATATATATATATATATATATGAGAAAAATATTTCTCAAGCTGCTTGAGATATATTTATCTCCGGCTACATCAAAATTATGTCATTTTGTTTATTTATTACCTTATATTAATTGATTTACCTTTAAATGGTTATGATTCTCATTTTCTCTGTCTTCCTTTCACCGTTGATTCATCTATGTACGGTAATGATTTAATAGCCGGAGATAAAGTTATCTCAAGCAACTTGAGAAATGATAAGCCATATATATATATATATATATATATATATATATATATATATATATATATATATATATATATATATATATATATATATATATATATATATATATATGGGGCATGTTATATTTACAAGCGTTTTTGCTTACAAACTACACTAAGTACGACCTCGGTTATACTTTAATCATGCAGTGTACGACCGGTCGTACTTAGTGTAATTTGCAAAAAAAGTTTGTAAACGGATCTTATCCCTACACACACATATATATATATATATGGTTTTTGACCCTTTTGCCCCTAATTAAATAATTAATAACCAATTTGCCCCTTCCCCAGAACTATCCACCATCCTGCCCCCATTTAGTCGATTATGTTGCACTTTTAATCGACTAAATGGGCTAAACTCAGAAATTATGAAACGCGAATTTTAGTCGACTAAAAACTCATCTTAATCGACTAAATTGTTTGCACTTTTAGTCGACTAAGCACATTATTTAGTCGACTAAAGATCGCGAAAAACCCTATATCCAGACCTCTCTTGGGCTCATTTTCAAAATATTCGAAATCAAAACTTCTCTCTTGGTCTCTTTCTCTTGTTTGTCAGCTGGGAACCTTCCAATCACCCTTCCATTTCATCCCACCACCTCTAAGACATAGTAATTGTGAAATCATTGTCATTTCCCTTATTTTCTAATTTGTTTCCCCCAAATCCGAACCCTAACCCCTAAAATCTGATTCCTACCCCCAAAATTCGTGTGAAAGATGAGCTCAAGTCCAAACATGTATGTTACCATGATTTACTATGATGGAAAGCATTATGAAGGCCCCAACGGTGTTCAATTTGAAGGAAAAACGAAAATGTTGAAAATCAAACGGGGCACTACGTACAATGAGCTGAAGGGGAGGATTAACCAAAAATTGGGGCTACACGGGAGCCATGGCGTTCAACGGATGATCGCCAGGGTAGAGTCTACAGTTGGTAAGGATGCTATATTCTACATTGGTAATGATATATGTGACGATGAAGATGTGGATTGTGTCATAGATGCAATTGTGGACCGAAAATTTTAAAACTTTATTGAGATATATGTTGAAATAGACTGTGGTCAATCTTCATATGCACCTGTGCATGGAAGAAGTCAAAGTCAAGAAGACAGAGTGGTCGGTTTATCTGCACCTGCACCTGTCTTAAGTCAGATACCACTGAGGGAAATAGACGAGGATGAGGATGGGCATGACGAGGATATGGACAGTGAAGACGATGGTGAACCCGAGAGTGTTATTCTGCTGGGTGACACCTCAGATACGGACGTAGAGGGGAATTTTGACGCTGATACTAGTTCAGGAAACTTGAGTTCCCAGGTTATGCCACCGCTCCGTGTTGACCCTGTTAAGGGTGGTAAGATTGTAATATAAAGTTTTAATTTTGCATATATATATATTTGTGTTTTCTTTCGTACTGACGGATAAGTTTAAATTTGGACGTAGGGTCTGAGATTGAGCCATTTTGGAACGACAGCCCACACTATTCGTTCATTAATTGGGCTCACCCTAATGATGAGACGGAGATATTGTATGGCGACGATGACATCCACGGTGGCTGGCATTTAGGAGATCCATTATATTTGTACCAGGAGTTTCGAACAAAATCTGAAATGCAACATGCTGTCAAATTATATTGTATGAAGTCTCATCGTACTGCTGTGGTGGCAAAAAGTGATGACCATAGATTTGTGATGAAGTGTCGACACCATAATGATGGTTGTCCCTGGTACGTGCGGGCTATGTTGCCCAAGAATGGAAATAGTTGGGTTGTTAGTAAGTGGGGTAAAAAACACACCTGCCTAAACCAAGGCCTTACTCGGGACCATAGACAGCTGGATTCTGATGTAATCTGTGCAGCCATTATAAGTATGTGTTACATTCATTTTTGTTTATGGTTTAATTTTTCGGTATATTTATTGATTGTGTTGACTTCGAATTTTGTGTAGGTATGTTAAAAGAAGATCCATCCACGAAACCAGTTCTTATTCAGGAGAGGGTACAAAGTTTGTATGGATACAACATATCTTATAGGAAGGCTTGGAAGGCTAAAATGAAGGCCATTGTGAAGTTGTTTGGCGACTGAGAAAAATCATATGCCATCTTACCTGGTTGGCTGAACTACATGACACAGATAAATCCTGGTTCTGTGTTCAAGATTGATACGGATCAGTGTTGTGACGAACGACGAGTCTACACCGATAAGGCTGTCTTTCGCAGGGTATTTTGGACTTTTCACCAGTGCATTGAGGCTTTCAAATATTGTAAACCCATAATCCAAATTGATGGCACGCACCTGTACGGGAAATACAAAGGTACCCTCTTGATTGCTACGTCACAGGATGGTGATGGATTCATTCTGCCTATTGCGTTTGCCATTGTTCCACCGGGTGAGAGATTGGATGATTGGTTGTGGTTTCTTAGCCAGATGCGTTTTCATGTCACACGTAGGCATGGTATCTGTCTAATATCCGATCGTCACCCCAGCATCATCAGGGCTGTGAAGGATCATGCCGGTTGGCAGCCTCCATTTGTGTATCACGTGTTTTGTCTTCGTCACATTGGAAGCAACTTCAACACTAAGTTTAGGGACGTGGAACTGAAGAAAACGCTGATGAAACTAGGTAACCTATTTACAGTGCTAGACGATCTTCTACGGCCAGCCATGGGAACAACTGTACCTACAATGCAAGTGGAAACAAAAATCAATGAACAATAACAATATCAAAAAATTTAAAATTCAATATAAAAAACAAAACCTAATCCTAAAATAAAACAGAAATCAGAAACCCAATCCCTAACCCTAAAACAGAAACAGAAACCATAACCCTCAACCTTAACCCTACACCCTAAAACAGAACACAAAAACCCATTCCTAACCCTAAACACTACAACCCAACCAAAACAGCAACGTAAACCCTAACCCTAACATAACCCTAACCCTAAGCCTAAGGCACCCCATCAACCCTAACCCTCACCCTCACAACACACTTAGCACCCTACCCCTAACCTAAATCCACAAAACCGCAAACATAAATCAAATGCATGAAGAAAACCAAAAAAAAACTAAACTTAAAACCAAATGCAAGTCAGAATACGTTACCTAAATGTCGATTTCGCAAGTGTGAACCAAGGAAGCTTCAATCGCACCTTCAAGGGTTGAGATTCGGACTTGGTTGGAGAGAGGGGACGAAATGCAGCCTTTTAGTCGATTAGGGTTTGAAAATAACCCCCTTTGCGAAATGGGGGGTTTTTAAAAAACCTGATCTGCGACATTTAGTCGACTAAATAATGTGCTTAGTCGACTAAAAGTGCAAACAATTTAGTCGATTAAGATGAGTTTTTAGTCGACTAAAATTCGCGTTTCATAATTTCTGAGTTTAGCCCATTTAGTCGATTAAAAGTGCAACATAATCGACTAAATGAGGGCAGGATGGTGGATAGTTCTGGGGGAGGGGCAAATTGGTTATTAATTATTTAATTAGGGGCAAAAGGGTCAAAAACCCTATATATATATATATATATATGGGGTAGGTTATATTTACAAACTTTTTTGTTTACAAATTTTTACAAATTACACTATCTTTTCCCGGGAGAACAACAGTAATCACACTATCATCTTCCGGGAGAAGATAGTGCAATTTGTATAAATTTGTAAAAAAAGTTTGTAAACGGATCTTTCCCCTCTATATATATATATATATATATATATATGAAAATGATCCGTGTACAAACTTTTTTTGAAATTTTTTACAAATTATATAGTGTAACCAGTGTTCTCCAGGAAGAAGATAGTGTAGTTTGTAAACAAAAAAGTTTATAAATATAAGATGCCCCGTATATATAAAATTGTAACATGGATGTTAAACTTGAACCTATATAATAATCAATGGTGTTTCTGGTATTACCAAATCCTGTGATTATGTTCTCTTCAAAATAATTTAGTTCTTATCTGCTCATTGTAAAAATGTAAAGCATATCCCGTGTGTACAAAAAAATAAAATAAAAATGTAATGCATATTGTTCTTTATTTCAAACGTAAATAATGTTTTCAATCCTTATTGTTCCACCTTTGGGAAATAAGGATTTTCAGAAAACATACCAGTCAAAACATTAGAACATAAAAACTATAATGGAGTTCCCTTACCAAAAAAACAATCAACAGAGACTCATATAGTTCTCTACACACAGTTATTTACTATTCAAGCTTTAAAAAAAGAAGAAGAGAGAGAGCATAAATTGACTAAAACACTGAACTCAAGTCTTCTGATAGTCGTTTCTCTTCTCCTTCTCCCAAAACTTGAACTGCACAGCTCTTTCTTCAAGCATCTTCTCAACTTCCTCCATTGGAACTCCCATTGTTTCTGGTACGAAAATGAGGACAAAGAAAATTGCTATGACAGCAACAATTCCAAATACCATGAATGTCCATGCAGTGCCAATAGCTTCAGTCATGGACAAAAAGGACTGTGAAACAATGAGATTTGAAACCCAAACTGCTGTAGAAGCAATTCCTCCACACACTCCTCTGTACCTTAAGGGATATATCTCAGAGTTGACAACCCATGGAACAGTTCCCATCCCAGGTGAGAAGGATATGATATACAGTGCCAACCCAATTAGTGCAACCCAACCTGTTTTGCTAGGACAACCCCTTGTGTACCATGCCCTGTGACCGTTTCCGCACTGATTCTTAGTTGTGTCACTAGATATCAAACATGCCCCAGGTAACAGCTGCACAATTAATTAATATACTAGTGTCAGGAATATTAATTACAATCCTATCCTATTATTATATATGGAGATTCATATATAGTAATAAAATATTTGAGTATGGTAACATATTAATAGCATAGGACTCAATGTGGTGGCAAAGAGGACAGAGACATATTTTTACCTTGTTAGATTCAGATGCACAAAAACCACATTGAGGTGAAGACTTTAGGCACTTCATGCAATCCCATGCTTGAGGATTCACAGCTGTGCTGAAACTGGGGCAGGTGTTATTGAAAGATAAGGTTTCTGCTTGACTAATCATTGGAGAATGAGTTTCTGTCTCGCGAAAAGTGGCAGTTAAAAGGGCAAGGGATAAAACAACACCACACAAACTGATTAAAGCAAGCTTCTTTCTCCCAGTCTTGTCAATGAAGTATATGCTCAAGATTGAACCAAATGCATTCAGCCCAGCAGTGATTAGAGACAGAAGAAGTGCTGTCCTGTTGGAAGCAAAACCAGCTAACTGAACAATAGCGGGGCTGTAGTACATCACAGTATTTATACCCACAAACTGTTGGAAGATTTGAAGCCCAACACCTGCATACAAACCTCTCCTCACAGATGTAGTTTTCAGCAGTTTGATAATGCTGATCTTTTCCGAAGATTCTGCATCCTTCATTTCCATAGCAACCGACTCCTTCAAAGCATCAATTTCAGCTTCAACCTCATCAGCTGAGTAAATCTTTCTTAATATTGCTTTTCCTTCCTCCTCCCTGCCCTGTTTCATAATCAACACACAAAAACAAAACAACACAATTAATTCAGTTTCTCACAGAGTATATATATAAATATATATCATATATGACTGCTGATTTAACTGACCTTTCGGAACAACCAACGGGGTGATTCGGGGAGCGAAAACATTAGCACCACTTGTATTATAGCAGGTGCTGCAGCTACCCCAAGCATCCACCTCCATGTACCAGGTGCCTGAATATATTAAAAAAAGTACTCAAAAATCATGTTTTCATATAGAATCAAGATAAACAAAGTTCAACAATCTAATAAAGTATGAACGATTGTGCATGTAAACATGTTTAATAGTTTGATTAACGTTATATACCACAAAACATTAAAACAAGTAGCAAGTGAACGATTGTACCTCAATTGCAACATGTGCTTGCGCATCTAATGTTCCAATAAAGATGATAGTAATAATAAAAGAAGGAAAAAGGAAAAGAATAAGTAGCAAAATAAAGAAGAATTTGAACATGGTAAGGCATAGTTTCTCACCTTAGTGAAGGCCAAGTTGATGAGGTAGGAAAGAAATTGTCCTCCAGTGATGAGGAAACTATTGAGACTTACAAGGGCTCCTCGAACTCTAGTCGGGGAAGCCTCAGAAATGTACAGTGGAGATGCCATTGAAGCCATTCCAACACCGAGGCCAACAAAAACTCGACCTACAATGAGAATAGCAGGACTTGTTGCAGCAGCCATTATAGCAGCCCCTATAAAAAAGAGGGTATCTGCTGTGATTATTGATATTCTCCTTCCAAAACGATCATTCATCCATCCACCAATTGCAGCCCCTATGATTGCTCCAGCAAGTGCCATACTCACTATGGCTTCCTGAGAATGTTGTTCAACTATTAACATACTATTTCAACATTATTCTAACATGATAACTTGCACAAAATGAGTATATATATGCTTCTAATTCAAACCAAAAAATTTGTGCAAATACATGATAATATGTTACACCGTAAGAACTTAAAACATATGTACTTGAAATTCAGAACATCCAGGGAAAAATGATTTGTACTATGAATTTGTAAAAAAAAATGTGTTACTGATCACGAAAAATAAATATTAACTAATTAATTTTTTTTACTTTTGGGTATTACATAATTATATTCCATGGTTGCCTTCTAATGTTTATTTTAATACTTTGAATGAATATTAAATAATTTTAATTTAATTTTTTAACATATTAAACCATTTCAGAAAAAGTTACTTTAAAACGAATTTGATTTTGAAATAAATAAAAAAGGAAAAATATCTACATCCTTAAATTTCGGTTTGTAAAGATAAGGTAGTATTTGAAAATTTATATTAAGAATTAATACATTTTAATTTGCCCGAGATAAGATCGTTTTCATTGAATGCTTTCTAATTGAAGAAAAAGTGTGAGATCTAAATTATAAAACTGTGAAATTATTTTTACCAAAAAAAAAACATAGTAGAAAGATGACCAATAGTTTACTTTCAATAAAGTACTGGGTCCCATCTATTATATATGGCTAAGTTGCTGCCTTTGCTTTTTAGGAATGGATTGGTGATGACGCATGTTGAGAAGAACATGTTAGGAAATGTGGAAATAGGCACCTGTTAAATTCACGGGGGATGTGTCTTCAAACCCGAATGAAGGGAAAAAAACTGAACCGAATTGGATATGTATAAAAATATAATAAAACTAACAAATATTATCAAAAGTAAATAAATCGGGACGATCCGAATCATGTGATATCCTGTTAGTCTGTTACGCTTACGCCAACTCTATACATATATATAAAAAAGAGAATCTCAGAACCAAAAATTAAATAAATAAATAAAATTCTGAGAGAGTCACAAGATATGTTTAATGACGACTTGATTGAGACTTTTAGTAAGGCTCTTCTCGTGACGAGTGAGAAAAAAAAGACAACACTTAACTAATATTCGCAAAAGCGGTGGTTAAATTAAAATTTTGAAAAAAAAAGGGGTAAAGAAAAATTTAAGCTTTTTCGCAGAAAAATTTAAACAGGATCGAGGTTGTTTGAGAAAATAATTTGAATAGAGAAAAACCATGCGTTTAGTTTTCATGAGCAACAGTGTAGTGTGAACGGAAACCGATGCAAAAGGACATTAAAGAAGGACATAAAGCATATTTAATTGGATGAAAAGAGTCAAAGGTTTCATCCTTTGGAGTCCAAACCAAAGGATGAAAGGCATTCATGAATCACCTGAAGCCATGTCTTTCTATCCACTTCTTTGAAATCATCTCTGATATACAAAAGAGCCCCAGATATCACCCCTGCACATACATACCCACCAACACAAATCGTAAAAAAATGAAGCAAAAAAATTAACAATTGTGATAAAATAATAATGGGTACCCATATCAGGGTGAGAAAAGCAGAGTATTTAACATAAAACTGTTTGATAACGTGGGATATTGAAACATAGGAAAACATATATAGAAAAAGGTTGTTAATTGTTATTTTACCAGTGTCGTAGCCAAAGAGAAGGCCACCAATTCCAGCAGAAAAAGCGAGGCGAAGGACATAAGGATTCTTCCACGAAAGGGACAAACATTCTCTGAAAGCAGAGATATCAGCCTCAGGTACTCCACCTTCCATACCGGGGAGAGTCTGGAGAGAGAGAGAGAGAGAAATATACAAGCTATCTATCAACGTCTTATTACAAAGTCAGAGAGGAAACACGAGAAAGAGTTTTCTGACTCGTGAGTCTGATTGAACCTGAAGGACACAAGCGATATATGGTTGTATTTATAGAGGCACCTCAACCTTATGGATTCACAGTTGGTTGCAATTCTTGAAAGAAATAGTAAATTAAAATATAACAAATTATGATACAATCTAAATCCATATGAAACACAGGTAGATATAATTGTGATTTGTTTAAAAAAGGAAAACATAACAGATATTTGTTTTAAAAAGAAACGATAACAACACATTTGATATGGATATGATTTGAGATCTAAATTTAGATATATTTTGAATGATTTAATTGTTATTATTTAGTTATTTTTATAAGTTAATTACCTTTATATTTATTTTAGAAATTTTTCTTATTTTTAGAAATTATCTTATGACTTTTATTGGAGTAGTTGAATTTTATTATTTTGATAATTATAATAAAAAATCAGAGAGTTGCTTTTTTGTGAAATCATCGTAGCTTTCTGGTTAGCCACTTTTTTCACTACGCGTTTTCGGCATCATAGATCAAATTCTTAAATAAATTAAATTTTTTCTTTTTATTAAAGACCACTATAGATTATTATCAATTATAATTTACTGTTATAAAATTATTATGAAGAAGTTGTATAATATTAAAAAATAATAATTCACGTTTCTGTGTTAAATGTTTTTTTAAATAAAATTTGTTCATAATATAATTTATTTTTACTATTAAAAATGAAATTACGTATGCAAATAAATATATATTTATTATTTTATGTTAGAATTTGTATAAACTTCAAGAGGAAAGTTATAATTGAAATCTATTTTCGTTTACAATATCTTACAACCATATTTTAACCATTGATTTCTGTCACTCAATGATTATCATTTATTGCGAAATAATAATTAATTAATGAGTTTGATTTGCAAAAATAATAACCGTTTATTGACGAAAATCAACGATTAAAATATAGTTGTAAGAGGTTATAAACGAAAATATGTTTTAAGTATAATAACCTTCCTCAAAAAATTCAATTGTTACAATAAGAAGTTAAATATGAAAAAATACGTTTTTTTCACTATCGAATGGACATAGGGCATGTTTGGTGTATAGTATAGGATAAGACCTGATAGTATAAGACCTGATAGTATAAGGCCTGATTGTATAAGACCTGATTGAATTTTAATACTATCCAGCGTTTGACACGGTATTGTATAAAATAATATATTGTATAAGATAATATCATCCAGTATATGGTAATGCACTGTATAATATTATATGGGATAAAAATATCCTTTAATATATTGAAAAATTAATTTTTATTTTAATATATTAATATTAAAATAATATACTAATTTTTGAGAATTACACTGGTCAATGATGTTAATACACCAACCTCTTATCAGGCTTTATCCCTCTCCCTTAGGCCGAATTAAGTTATACATCATTTTGATGTATTAAGGGATCTTGCTGTATAAGTTTATACTACACGATGGTCACACCAAACAACTGAAAATGTCATAACGTATAGTATAAGCTTATACTATCATGCTTTATATGTCACACCAAACAGGTCCTAATTGTTCATCGTAGAATAAACTGGTCACTTTTATGATTTCTCTACTTTATGGAAACTCTGCCAAATTCTTTTTTTTAAATCTTTGCATTCATTCTGTGCATAATTCAAACGAAGGTTGCATCCGTCGGTACTGTTTGTTCGAAAATGCTATCAACAAACAAAGGTAATCCATTCTATCCTAAAAGATAATTTGATACACTTACGGTTAGTCAAACATATGACTCAACCATTGATTCAAGAACCTAATAGTCAACCAGAATCATAACTCAATAAGTCTGACACAATTATTAAAAGAAGCAATCATTTAAAATATAACAAATTATGATCAAATTCAAGTCCAAACGAAGTAGTACATATGATTGTGATTTGTTTGACAAGAAAAAAAAGTAATACATTTGGTATGATTTGAGATCTAAGATTTGGAACATGTTTTGAATGATTTAAATGTTATTATTTATTTATTTTAAAATTTAATTAATATTATATTTATTTTAAGAATTTTCCTTATTTTTTAGGATTTTAGATATTTGAATTTTGGATCAGTTTATAATTAGTCTATTAATGGATACTTATAACCCTTAAAATAGTTGAATTTTGTTCTTTTATTAATAGAAATTAAGGATCGGGGAGTTATTCTTTTAATAAATCTCAACTTTCTATCTAGCCACATCTTCTGTACGCTTTTGGCCGGTATCACAATTGTCATTCACTATTGGGCACATAAAGAGAACAAACTGTCTTAAGGACGTAATATCAAATACTGGGCTCAAAAAATTTTATTCTTTCATTTTACAATTAGTTTACATAGTTGATATATTATGAATTTTATTATCAGAAAAATATTTCTGCAGTTACTGCAGATAAGTTATTTACATTTACACTCAAAATGATGTCGTTTTGGTGTTGAAATATTAAAAAATTATAATTATAAAAATTATTATAACCCTGAAATAAATTAAAATCACAAAAATACTTTGATTTCTGTCCCAAAAAAATGTCATTTTGGACTTAATACAGATAACTTATCTGCACTAACCGCAGAAAAAATGAACCCTTTTATTATTGATTGTTTTGTTGTATCCTCCTTCTCAAACACATATTTCCCTCGTTTTCTATTTGTGTGCATCTATCACTAACATTTTATGTATATAAAATTGAACAAACCATAAAAAAATATAACTAAAATGTTAAAATTTCATATTTAATAAATAATATCTATCTAAAATAAATTATCTCATTAAAATATCAAAATTTATATAAAAAATACAACATAATTTTTATAATACTGCAGTAACATATTAATAATAAAGAAAGTAACGAATAAATAAATAAATACACATATCACATAAAACAAATAATTTTTCTTAATATCAATTCATTTTTGTCATATGAGTCATGTCAAATGTGTTTAAAAATGGTATATCAAATTATGTGTATACAAAATTTAAAGCACAAAAAATTAATGTTACATTTCACCCAAGAGAGAGGAAAGGGAAAGAGAAGAAAAATACATTAAAGAGATGGAGATGGAGACCAGGAAGAAGGAGCGTACTATAAAAAAATTATTATTTTTCTCCATTTGTGTTCCGAAAAATAGAAAATAAACCGATTTATCACCTGGAAGCTCAAAAATAAATATTTTTATCAAATACTCTTACTAGCCATAGGCCATAGCCATTAATATTTCCCAGACTATGAATGACAAAAAAAAAAAAATTATGCGAAAATTATCATGAACGCCCTTAATATCTGCTAATAATTCAGCACACTAATTACGATTTTTTTTTTAATATTAGTGATATCATAAACTAAAAATTATCGTAGATAGCCAATAATAATTCGAGCTTAAAATACTTTAATTCCTATAACATAACCCTTTTAATTAAGTAGGCATGCCATGTACTTTAATTCTTTATATTTAAATTTTTGGTCAATATTTATAAAATAAATTAATTTATCTAAATATACTAAACTAATGTAGTCAGTGAACCCTTAACAAATTTGAGACAAGAACAAATCAGATTCTTAAAATATTTGCATTTATAAAGGTACGAATCCTCTTCTCAGGCTTCAGTTCAATTGAGATTCTTAAATTAAGTAAATTATTATTATTTAATTATTATTATGAAAAGTTAATTAGTTAATGCTTTTGAAAGGAATGCTACAAATTTAAGAGTCATTAACTGAAAAAATAATATATTTAAAAAATTTACGCTTAATTAATAGCTTAATTATTTAGTTGTTTTTACGTTTTAGAAAAAATTATGCTTGAAATTTTAAACGTATAAAGGCTCATAGATTGCCAATAAAAATTGAACCTTAAAAATGATTTAAATTCCTATAACAGTAATTTTTTAATTAAATATGTACTTTGGTTCTTTGTATTTATATACTGGGTCAATATATATAAATATGCCAAATTAATGTGGTGGTCCTAGATTACCCTTAACAATTTCAGGCAAGAACAAAATCCAAATGTAATTTCCATACCTTACATTAGCATTTTTACATCATATTATCACAAGAACAAAATACAAAAGATTTTTCCGTCACGAAAGTGAAAAGGAAAATAAATAAAAGAAGAAGCAATAAATTAATGTTACCGACACTGTCTACTTTCTTTGACTGGCAAACATGTCTCATTTTCAAAGTGTAGGTGCAATTATAATAAATAGAACTATTTCACGGGAGAATTTAAGGGAGACACTGCTATGTGCCTGTGTTCATTTGTCTCATTGCTCATCTTATACTTCTCAAACTATGACAGGTAACAACTCACTTACTTAGTACAGTATCCTCCTTTTATTTCAATGCTAAAGTACAAATTTGAAGTGAAACATATGTGATTGGGACTCTATCCCTCCTGCTATTTTTTGTTGTTATTCTTTTTTCCTGAGTGTACCACCATTTAACTATGGTTTTAATTTTGGGGGTAATATGCTACAAAAACAAAACTATACAACTTTTGAATCGCCGTTTATTCTCACTTCGTCACCCACCTTCACCTAATTAACAGGTCACAAATTATATTTATTTTATATCCACGCCCTTCAATGTAATGGAAGTCAAAGAAGCAGTGTTTGGGATGCGAGCAAAAAAACTGTTGTATAGAATAAATAGTTAATAAAATAGGTATTTTTTATATTTTGAAAGTTAAAAATTAAAATACAAAATAAAAACAACTCAGATATACTTTCTTTAATTTTTATTTTTTATTTTTTTTTTACAAAACAGACATTATCAAATCAATTTTAAATTTTTTTATTCTAAAAGAAAAGAAACAGATTTTAAAAATTTTAAACAGATTTTATATCCTCCGGTTCTTGAACAAGGTTGTTTCCTCGAAATTAATAACAACCTTATCTTCTCCTAAGCAACACACCCGAAGATGACTCCACT